TGCCCCACTAGCTCCCTGCCCCCTCCCCCACCATTTTAGAAAGGGAGCCAGTGTGAAAGTATTGGCATCAAAAGTTTCTGTATGTAATCCTTTTGCCAGCAGGTGACAGAGACCCACATGGAGCTATTACAGAAACAACTAATCTGACATGATCCCTTAAAAAAACAGTGAGACAAAGTGGAAGAGACCTGGCTGTTTCACTATGTGTTCTATTGCCAGCTAAGTCTGAACTTCCTATTTGTAAATTCTCATTTCTCTCTGATATGAGTGAATGACAGCTCCCTCTCAAAGTTATCAAACTTAAACTCATACTAAAAGCACTGAGGGACAGAAAAAGACATCAATAGCAATTGGTAGAACACCTGGTAGAACAGTGCGCTGGTTTGATATCTATAAAACCACTAAACTTGGTTGTTTCATACCAGTTGACCCCCACCCCCTTCCCCCTGAATACTATGAAGAACAGCTTCATACACCACTATGAACCTGATATACAAAATTGCATTACAATAAATTAGGGTTAGCAAGCTAGTCAATTGACCGGTCAAATATTGTCAAATGATGGGTCAATTGACTGTATATATTTTGACCAATCAATTATAACAACTTTACAGAAAAACTACATTTTTTTTGTAGTTTTCTTGACAGAAATATGATTTTTTTTTTTTTTTTTTACACATTTCTTAATGGAAAAATTGTGCTATTGGCAATTTTTTACAATTTTTGACTGATATTTGACCGATCAATTCACTGCACTTTATTTAACTGGTCAAATACCCAACTCTACAATAAAGTAATAGAGACTATTGGTAAGGTAGCACGTGTACTACTTAAGGTACTACTGAAGAGATTATGCCAATTTTGTGATAATCTCCAAAAAGCCATACCTTTACAACAGTGAAATTAACATAAGAATTGTTTCAAATGAGCCCTCAGCATAACTGGCAGTGTTTGATGTTTTCTGCAAAGCTTTACATGAAACTGACTCACGGATCTCTTTTGTGATTAATAATTGAGCATTATGCTTTATTCCAGTGGCAATTATAGTTAGCTCTGTGCAAGCCAGGATTTCACAGAACAGCATTCAAACAAACTGAAGAGTCATAGGGTAAGTACACACGTACATTTGGAGCCATTTCAAAAGGGAACATTTCAAAGGGTGCAAACAAACATAACAATTGAATCATTTCAAAATGTCACTCATTCAGAACTGGTTGTGATTGTGTGAAATGTGGCTCTAACACAAGGGTGTGAGAGAAAGCACCCAGCCCAGCATGCCTCGCAGAGAGTTAGTAGGAGGGAGCGCTTGCATCCACGCTTTGAGAGTACCAAGAGGCAGGTGACCTGTGGCTGGGGAGTTATGTCATTTTTCTGCTTTCCCTTGTTTCCTAAACACGAGTTCCATAAACTTTGATAGCTTACAAATAACTGTAATCTGCCACGAGCTCACCTGACTTGGGGTGAGGGCAGGAAGGAGTGTTTTGATGCACATTTTTTGATTTCCAGAGTCTGGGGCTGCATAATGATGAGCTGTAGTCAAGTAGAGAGTGAGGACACAGCTGATTGTTAGAAAGATAGCTTTTACTGAACAAGCAGTGCAAGGGAGATGTTTGATAAAAAGTGCCAATGAAAGAGGAAAAAAAGTGGATAGTAGAAATCTGATTATATACCAGAGTGGGCCAGCTGCAGCATGGTGGAGGGTGGGTGGGGAGGGATAGGAAGGGGACGGGCATGCAATCTGGGATGTCTGGAGGACTGGCCAGGTCTGTGTCACAGAATTCTTGATGTCTACGCGCAAAACTGAACTGGGTCACAATGAACCATTTCAAAATAGTACTTGATTTTCTAGGTCCACTTTTGAACCAAGTAGATTTAAACCAGTTTATCAGGCTTGCATGTCTGTCTGCTTCAGGTTTAAACCTCCTTCAAACCATTCTAAATGTTATATAAACTTCCATTCAATCAGTTGGCCCTGCCGTTCTTCACAGGGCATGGTGAATGTGCCAAGGAGTTCTTTGATGGCTGCTGAGTCTGATGCTTGAGTGACAGATCCACCCACAGGTAGGGCACACCTAGGCAGTAGCAATCTGAGCAGTAGATTCTTTCCTCCTCTGACGCTGGTCATCACAAAACTTGATCCAGTCCACCTTGTAGCATCTTGGTCCATCTGCAAAATGACTTCATCAACCAGAGCATCATTCTGCACTCCTTTCCCAATCATCCGCAGAGATTCCAAAGGATGCTAAATCATAACTGCAAGCATCCCAAAATCTGAGCACTGGTCTGCCTCTCTTTCTAGACCCCCTTTAAGCCATGCCAAAAAGGACAGCAGCTGTTATAGTTTAAAATACAATACAAATGAAGGAAAACTGCTCCAGATTTGACCCTGAATGAAGCAGCATTCAAGGTAGAGCTGTTTTACTACATTTGTAAAAGCTCCAGGTTTGCCCACAGTAACTGTCAGAACATAACAGCTGCTGTGCACTCCCAATCAGCAGCTCCCCCTTTGAAACATTTCCTTTTAAATAGTTCCAAATATATGTGTTTACATAGTCTTTTATTGCCAGATACAACAAAGACTTTCAAAGGGATCATTTTAACAAATGTTATTCCCCTCCTACTGGGTGCATCTACATGTGTGCTTTACTGTGGAGTTAACTTATTAGAACCTCAATAAAGTGTTTCAGTCTACATGTGCACTAGTACAAAGGCACAGTAAATTAATTAACTCCACCAAAGAATAGTACTATCAGGGACAGTACTATTCTATGGTGGAGTAATTTACTCCACTGAAACACAGATGGTGACAGGGGCTGGCTGGGGCATGAGGATGCTAAAGTATGGGGTCTGCCTTCCACCTAGCCCTACACTTTAGCACTCATGTGCCCCAGCCAGCCCTGACACTGCCCAGTGCCGCCACCTGGAGCCTGGTGCTGACCCCGTGGGCTCCCTGCCAACCCAGGGCTGCTCCACCCTGGCTCAAAGTGCTGCAGTCCCAGGCGCATGTGCAGATGCTGCTCCTAGGAACAGTTTTCTCCGGTGCAAACTGTGCCTGAGTTTATCACATCTCATTAATTGGATGTGTAGGTGTACCCACTGTTTTCTAGACAATGCCCTTCTTTTAATACTCAGTTCTTGTGATTATGTCCATTCCTGCAATAGCAATCTTCACTGATTTCTTTAAATATAGTTAGCGATATCTGGAATTCACATGAGAAGTGCATTGTGTGGTGGCTCCTTTTCTGCTGGAGTTTCCCCTGAGCACTGCCCCCCCCCACACACTGATTGGCAGAGGGGCCCTGTCAGTCCTGCCAACTTGCCACTCATTCTTGATGGCTGGGAGGTGAAAACCACAGTTTTAAATATGGCATGGTTTTTGTCTCCCATCTAAGCAGCAGCAAGCAGCAGGGACACCAGGGCCCCTCCACCAATCAGCAGTGGGAGGCAAAAGCCATGGCATATACAAACCTGTGTTTTTTGCCTCCCTACCTATCATGGCAATCAGTGAGCTGCAGGGTCGATGGGGCCCCTCCACCAATCAGTGGTAGGAGGATGCCCAGGGGAAACTCCACAATCAAAGGAGCTACCACAGCGCACTTCCAATGTGAATTACAGTGGTCCTAGGCAACCACTGATCCTTCTGGATCACGTGATATGCATGAGAAGTCATCAGGACTTTTGATGCATACATCTTATGAGATGTGGCCACTGAAAATACAGACTACTGTTTTAGGAAAACTATTTTTGTTTAAGGAAAGCTATTTTATTTCTTTGCTGCCCCTTCTTGTTCTAAGAAAACATGAAGTCTTTTAAAAATGCAGATTAAAGTCCTGTATACATGGTCATTACTGTTACAACTAAGGACTAAATAGCATTTTGAAATCACTTCTTCAGTTCTGTATCATCAATTAAAACATTTACTATATCTGTGTTTTAAAGTATCTGTTACACATCCATTGAGGGAGGACGCTTGAGAAGGGATGCAACCACAATTACTAGTCATATAGTGTGATCAAGAGCATATTGCTTTCAAGGAATGTATGGTAAATGTGAAAGTGTGCCTCAAAAGAATATACTGCCTGGAGTCCTTTCATAGCTAGCAAATGGAAGCTTTTTCAGAGCAAAGATATGAGTTATCATTATTTAACTACTGTGTTTTTTCTGTGTTTTCAGTGCAAGTGAGCATAAAGAAAAAGAATCTACAAAATGTGTCTTTGATGGGGTACTCAGTGAATTGCCAAAACAATATGAAACCTTATAATATAATTATTTTCTGTGATTTTTGTGCATCTTCACCGTTTTATCTCCACATAACATCTTCTCTCATTGTAGAGAAAGGTATAGTCAAAATACTTTATTCTAATTTTACTAACATGGATAGAATACTCATGAAAAGTGCTGAACATTCAGCCTGGGAGGCTCAAGTCCTTAGACCATAAATTAAAATATCTTTTCTGTTTTTTGCACAGACATAGCTAAAGTGATCAGCACACAGTCTTTCACATATACCAAATGAGGTGGGCAGGGGATGGGAGAGAGAGATTTTTTGTATTTGTACTTAGCAAGAGACAAAATAGATACTCACAAAATAAAGACTCAGAAAAGGCCTGGTAAAAAAAAATCCACTGAGAAACTCTTTTTTTAAAATAAAAAAATGGGGTTTTGACTAATGAAATTATTTGGGGAAATTACTTATTTCCCTTGGCTTCTTTAAAAAAACACAAAAAAACCCTCCATTAAGAACCCAAGGATTTCTGTTCATAATAGTTTTCAAGTAAATATTTTCAGTTTACAATCATTGCAAACATTTTTAAATGTATATTGAGGGGTTATATTTTTTCAATTAAATTTGAAATTTTCCATTGACACTTTGAATGGAACTTTTTTTCATTTTCATTTAAATAATTTTCAAATCATTTTAACTGAAAATGGTTAGTCAGCTTTTTTTTTTTTTTTTTAAGGGGAAAACTAGATAGTCTTGTAAAAATTCCTGGTTATACCTCATGATTGATTGTCTGAACTTCAGAAATACTGGCCACCCAGCAGATGTACCATGGCATCTCCTAGGTACTTCAAAACCAGGCCATTTATTTAAGCACCTAAAAAGAGATGGAGTGAAGAGAAAAGCTGGCTGAACAATGGCAAACATACTTTGTGGCAATTTTTGAGTTTTTACACATTACCACAAAAATGGAACTATGTCAAAATATTCTTTTGTGGACTGAAATCTTTTTTATTGAAAAAATACGTATGTGTAAAACCTGCTTGCTGGGGTGAAGGTATCAAAGATACAGGCAGATCCAGCTCTGCAAGATTCAGAGAAGAGCTTTTCCTTATAACCTGCTCTAACTCAGACAGAGCAGGGACTTGAACCTTTGTCTTCTAGCTCTAGGGCAAGAGCTGTGTAAGGGCTTTTGCACTGTGTTGATTTTGCCCTGACACACAAACAGATTGTACGAAGGAAAAAGTTGGGGAAGGGACTTACTACATGATGGCTACTCTACAGTAACTATTTCAGGTGTCTATTTCTATCCCATGGTAAGCAGAAGTTAAACCATGGCAGCATACCCCTAAATGAAACAAGGCCAAATTAATGCGGTTTAGCTTTCGCTTATCATGGGATAAATGTGGGCCCATATAACAGCTACTGGGCACTTCTACATGTGCATGTTTATGCAAAGCAATACACTCCAGTGCAATATGTGCTGGAGTTTATTAGTCCTGGGCACAGCGTACACATGTGCACCAGGGACCACAGCACATTGAGCCAGAGTGGAACAGCCCTGATTGACAGGGGCATGGCGGGGTGAGGGGGTTAGCTTGCCAGTTTAGGGCTGCTCTGATCCGACTCAGTCTAGCCCTCGCACTGTAGCACCTTCATGCCCCAGCCAGTTGTATCACCATCCACATGTATTGCAGTGGAGCAAAAACCTTTTCAGCAGAGTAGTACTTGTTTTGACAAGTACTACCCTGCTGCAGAGTGTTTTAGTTTCCTGAGGCCTAATAGGGCCGCATGTGTAGAAGCTAAGAAGTTTACTGCAGAGTTAATTAGTCTACACTGCAGTAAACATCTTGTGTAGATGCGCCCACTGAAGTGCAGCTGATACCTGATAAGTCCCCCTACTTTTAATTCACTATAAGTTGTTCATTTGTCCATTGCCTAAGGCAATTATCCTCACCAGAAGGCAAGAACATGTTTCTTTCTTTCTTTATGGGAAGTAGCATATCTCTGAATTTTTTGGGTTTCAACTAAATTAAATCCCCAACTACGCTGCTTACTCAGGAGCCTAACTTTAGGGATCTTCTACAAATCTTGGCCTGAGGGAAAAAAATTCATACTTGGATGCTTAGGAGATAGGCACTTGAATCCATATTTGAAGATCTCAATAAATATTGAGTTGTTAAGTTTCAGGTCTTATGGACCAAAGTGCAAGACTTTCAGCAACTCTGAAAATCTTACCATACTTACTCAGTGCAAGTTGTTCATGTGTCAACCCATTAGAGTTAGAAAACAAATGTTCAAGTCCCTGGTTTGTCTAAATGTGTATCTAGAAGCCTAAAATTAACTCCAGGTTTGAAAATGTTTACTTTATCAGCTAATTAAAGAGATGCTACTGACATATTCCTGGAGAGACACCAGTGTCAGAAAGACAATTCCCTCTAAACCAGTTAACAGGAACCACTGTGGTCTATTTGTCCAGGTAATAAAGTCTAACAAACCTGTCACTGATAGAGGAGGTTTAAGAACATGCCTGTCAAAGGTGTGCCAAAGATTACTACCCCAGATACAAATATATTATGAATAAACCAATGTTTCCAAACCTGGACAGGAGCATGGGAGTCATTATTCTGGGTCAGTCTTATTATCAGTCTGGTCAGATATCCTTTCTAACATTGGCTGAGGTGATTTGCTCCAAAAAAAGATGAAAAAACCCCTCTATAGGTAAATCTAGAATATATGTCTAACCTGCTCAATCAGAAGTTGTCTCATGTCCTGAAGCATGAGGGTTTATATTTCTTCCAAAGTCTGGTGGTAGAAAAAATGAAGGGAATGAATCTAATTGTTTTCATTACCAATATAAGTGTCTACTCTTTAGTTGAATCCTCATAAATTAAGGTCACAAATCCTTATTTAGACAACAAAAAACTCATGTTAAATGTGCATTTAAGAGCATACTTTTAGGCACCCAGTTTTATAAATTTTGCCCATGCTATTTATTTTACACTATTTAAAAGGGCAAACAACAATGGGAGAAAAAGCAAAAGCATTATGTAGAATCGGCGTACTGCTAATTTAATTCATACCCAAGCAACGCTACCTGGTTACAAAGGCAAGTAATAAACAAGTCAACAAAACTTGCATAGGATCCTCATGTGAGTGACATCCTCCCGATACTGGTAAAAGCTGAATACCAGTTCCACAGCATATGCAAGACTGCAAGAATGACTCTTAAGATCTGTTTCTGCTATAGGTTTGTATTATCATTTGGGGGGTTTTTTTAATTCCCGTTGTTACTCCAGTCTTCTCCTGAGACATTCAGACCAAATAATTTACATCTCTTTCAAGCTCCTCTAGTTAGTTACTTAAAATTACCTCACCGTAGAATCCAACTTTTAGTGTGGTGTCCAAATAGGGAATTTTGTCACTTGTTTAAACAGCAATTAGGACATAATTTGGGAAGTAAACACCATTCTTTCTTTGCTGCAACTTTCAGGAGCACTAAGTAAAACCTTGCAGAGCTGAAGTAAATAATTATTATCACTATTTACATTCAGGTAGTTCATGCACAACATTATGAGACATCTTTGTTTGGCATCATTAGAACTAGATTTTTTTCCTCCTGTTTTTACATTAAATTTTCAATCCTAAAAGGAACTATTAAACAAATTTCTTATTTCATTTACAGGAGAAAATCTATCATGATGGAGACACAATTCAAGACAACTGTAGAAATTAAAGGTACTCTACAGAACTAGACTATTACTGTCATTATCCCATTTCTCATTTTGAACTTCATATTTAATTTTTTTTCATGTGACGAAGGCAAGACAAGGGCAAACTCACATGCCTCAGTGAAAGAGAGAGTTAAGGAGAAATAGGAACTGGGATTTGAGCCCCCCAACAGCACTTTTAATTACAATATATATAAATGTCCCCCTGTCTCTTTCAGTAATTATGAAGTGGTGTGTGTGGTGTATTCTGAACTGCAGGTAAGCAAAGGCTATTGCCCAAATAGCAAGCTGTAGCATTTTATAATTATGGGAAAAGACAGTTAGAGAGCCCTTATAAAATTATCAACAATCATTGAAACACAGATGATGCTAAGTTATCCAAAAATATATATATTTTTTATGAGCAGGAAAAAAATAATATTTTCCTTCATAATAAAGCTTCTCTGTAGGAGTCATTTGCCTCATCACATGACCATGGGGGAAACCAGAGCACTGCTTGTAGTAAAGGTGAACATGCAAGTCTTCAATCTACCCTCATCTTCCTTTCTGCCTCCCAGAATGAATGTAGAACCACCAAATAGCTGGGAGAGATGTTAGGCAAACTTTTAGTAGAGTGCCCTTCCTCGGGTGTGGGAATCTGCAGAGACAACCTAAACTGAATACAAGATGAAACTATCACTTTTAATTAACTTCATTATATAAGTGAAACCAGTCACTTAAAGAAGTGGGGTAGAGCTGTAAAATGTTCCTCCATCAATTCAATTTGTGTAAAATGCTTGTAAACAGCTTTCAAAAAGTGTAGTTAACTAGGCAAATTTAAGACTTATAAATTAAGCTCTGGAGGGGCTTGGCCTGGCTTTGTGTAATTGAATGACTTTGATATTGTCCTAGGCAGATTCATCTAAAAATGAAATTTAAGAGGTGTTTCTCTGATATTGCCACATTCCCTGATTCACGTGTTTCTAATGCTTTGTGGAAAAGTCATCAGGTAAGGCAGTGATTCTCAACCAGGGTCCTGCGGCATCCAGGGGTGCCTTAAAATCCTTTCCAGGGTGCTGTGGGGTGTCATGCAATGTTAGCAATGTTAGGTGTGCATACATGATTCACAAAATAGACCCAAAGGGTGCATCCAGATGAGCATGGACATTTTATTCCCTAGGGACAAGTAGCAGCAGCACACCTTGTACTGCTGCTACTTGTCCCCAGGACACACCTTTGCCATGTGCATTGTAGCACATGGCAGGTTACCCTGGGTAGGGTAGCAGAGGCTGGGGCCAGCAACTGTGCTAGCCCCAACAGCCTTACCTGGGGTCCTGGGGGCTGCTCAGGACTGCAGCTGTGGCAGGAAGCCTGGCCGGCAACTGGAGCATAGCTCTGGCCAGCCAGGCTCTAGTTTTGGACAGCACACACTGCTGCCTTGTGCACCGCCGCACTTTTTTTTGGTGTGGGTTTTTTTAACCCCAGGATCTCCTAGGGTCAAAAAAAAAACCCATGCTGCAAGGTAGCAGCAGAGGGAGCACCTGCATGTGTGGTGTGGGCCTCTGCAGATGAGACTGTGGTGTCCCATACCACACATCTGCGCTAGTCTGGACACAGCTGGAGATTGCAAATAGAAATCCATAATGTTAAAAACGTATGACCTGGTGTGGTCTTTCTGAGTGCTTTGCAACAGAAGAATTACTCTATTATCTTTCTGTAGTCAAAAACAGAATGGAAACTATCAGATGACATTTTCCAAAGGGTGCCTTGAGCTTAATGATGGGTGCTCTGGGTTATCTTGGAGTGCCTTGATTCTAAAAAGGTTGAGAACTACTAAGCTAAGGTCACTAAGCTAAGTATGCCTTATCAAAATGGTCCAGAAGACCTATAAGCCACTGTTTCATACCTATTGCTACGAAGGTCTCTGGTAACCCTGGGTACTTTTCCCTAAGAATGTTTTCTCAGGCATAAGTAGTATGATTGCTAGGTTTCTTTTAGTACCAAATTCTTACGAAAACTTTTGGGTTAAAAAGAGCCTCATGAGGAATCAGCATAATAGGTTCTAGAAATTCAAGTTCTGCCTTCTTTAGATAAAGCTGTAAAAAGCACATCTTACGGTGCCTGTTATTCCAAGAAACTACAAAATACAGAAAAAAAAAACTCCAGCTGAGACCCACTCTAGAATGCAGCCAAAGCTGGTGAGGGTAATTGCCCATGCTTTAGGGATGCTGGAAAGGATAGGATTTCCTCAAATCTGGGGCAACATAACTAGTCATCTGCCTCTGGGTGGCCACTGTATCCATCTGATAAAACCCAACAACGGACATGTTCTGACAATGCAAGTGAAAAAGACTGTGGGCATTTTGGAAACATCAATGGCACCACACCCAAATTACTCCTCCAGAGGCTCCTGTCATAGTTGCTTAGCTGAGATCCTCCAAATGCCAGCATGCGGGTGTCGTTTCCAGAAACCTTTGGCACCATGTCAGCATTAGACAAAACTGACTCCAGAAGGCTAGTCCTGCACTTCAGGCTTCTGATTTTTGTCCCTCAGCCACCTGCAGTTGCCCCTTTGGGGCATCTCCAGATGAGCGCAGGTGTTTGTTTCCACGGGGACTGTCTGTGCACTACCGTCATATGCACTACCTCCCTGCTTTTATTTTGGCATGGTTTTTTTCACCCTGGGATCTCCTAGAGTCAACCCCACTCCCCCCCCACCCCCCCGACCCAGTAACCGAGCGGGACAGGGAACACCTGCACATGTGGTGTGTGGTGCCGCAGATGGGTCTGCAGCACCACATACCGCACATCTGCACTCATCTGGATGCAGCCTTGGAGAGCAACAAGAAATCAGTGTCACTTCCCCCAAACAGCTTCTTCCTTCAAAGGTGATAAAGGCTCCTGCAGGCTTCATGGGCCCCCTACCATCTAAGCCCTAAACATTGACAGGTGTATCTTATGTGAAATGAGGCTCCTGGAAGAAGACCCAAGAGAGCTGAATAATAAAATGATGATAAAACATATCACATTATTACAGATGTACGTAATTTCATGTCTTGACAAAACTTTTTGTGAGTCCTACAATGACATTTTCAAGTATCCTTTTCTTCACTGACTATGTTAAACTTTGCCTAAGTTTGTTAGCTGGAATTTTCTTTTAAGTGATCTTGCTTTGTAGGCAAATTTTCCCATGTTCACCCAGCTTTAATCTCAGTCCAATATCCTGACTTGTTTTACTCTGTAGCTCTTCTATAATGCAGCAACTCAACCATTTCACCACAGGTAAGGAATGAGTCATTTTTAAATCTGAAATGTTATTGATTTCCAAAAAGAATAGTTAAAAAAAAAAAAAAGAGCAGGAACATGCTGCCACTTCTCCGAACTTGTGGGGGTGGGACACAGTCATAAATCTATCTACGCTTTTGTTAGACTTGATGGCTTTCAGATGCAGCCCTCCTGGAATAGCTAAACTCCTTGCTCCAGAAAAGAGGTCTCGGACTACACTGTGTTTGTTACAAATAAGACCTTTCTAAGAGCTATTCAACAACATTTTTTAAATGACTAGTGGTACATCCAGGTATTCAATGAGATGTGCTAGGCTTTCATTCACGCAGACTTGCTCTTAGGATTCATTTCACAGGTCCAGTATTGTTTGGTACAGTACATGCTATTCTTTTTCAGATAACGTGGATAGTTGCTCATGTAAACAAATCCCTTCAACACTTTACTACATCTGTAGTCTGACCAAGAGAGGCTCATGACTGGAATAGAACAGCATGTCTAAAGTACTTTGGCAAAGCTTGACTTTAACTACTGCTGTTCGTTCTTGTTACAAGCACTACATTTACATAAGCACACACTCTTGGACTGGTTCGAAAATAATATGAATTTTCAGAGTGGGTCATCACAGAGCTCTTTAGCCCAGGTGCTTCTGTGATTGTAATGCATTGTGAATTTTTCCAGTGTTCAGTGACCCTCACATTTACCCTTTACCCCTAGGGTGGTGGTATTAGTACACAGGGCTATAAAATGTGTGCAAGAATACTAGGCTGCTCAAAGATTGTTATAATTTTTATGCTTTTGGATAACAGGGAAAGAAAGAGAAAGATACCCTTATTCCTACATATTAACAACTTTTTAAAAGGGGGGGAGGGGGCAATGTTAAAGTGCAACTAAGGAAATTCTTAGAAAATGCTGAAACCAGCTAAATATTTTGAGAACATAATTCGGTAAGCTTTTTTTTCATTCTCTACAGCATCTAGCAGGCTTGACTCCAAATTTAGCTCAGTCATCTAAAATGGATACCTATTCTTCTATTTTGCATCTTTTTGTTTCTGTTTGTAAATGTGCCTGCATATATTAAGGCGCTTGTGTGCATATTTCTAGTTTAACTGTGTCTAAACTTCCTCCACCAACAAATAATGCATACTTATGTTAACATTTAACAAATAATGCATACTTAAGTTAACATTTTTCTTCTGTGTACTGATATTTACAGTGTGTAATTTCTTTCCTTATAATTGTAGACATTGAAATTTGTCTTCATGACACAACAAATGCCATTGTCTTCTACAAAACTAAAATCCAGCTTCATGTAAAGTATTTGCTTGTGCTGCTAGGATCAAGGTTAAAAGCAAGGAAAATGCTAGGAAAAGAAGAACAATACAGAATAGAGCAATCTGCTGAAATTCCATCTAGTGGCATATAATCCACACATTTGTTAATATTTTCTAGTACGTGCACTGCAATAATAAAGTCATCTCTCAAATCAGACCATTTCTGTGCTTTCCTTTCACAGTTTCTTATCGTTTCCAAACAATGAACCAAGCCCTGTCAGCCATTATCATTAAGGCCTGATCCTGCAAACTGCAGAACATCACCTTGGTGCACATCTCTTCAGACCATTACCAGTGATTGCTGAAGGCAGTCAGCACCTTCAAGGATGGTTCAGCACTTTTCAGGATCAAGCCTATATTGAAATCAAGATGACTACTCCCATGAGTAAAGAAATCATGATTTGGCCCCAAATCAAACACCTCCTTGACAGTCTGATGCTGGAACAAAAGCAAAATGTTAGGGGCTAAATCCTGGTTCAGTTGAAGTCAATGGCAAAAGTCCCCTGGGAACAGAATTCACCCCAAAACCTGCCATATTTACACAGGCCTATTAAATTGGAATATAAAACATGTAAATGTATGTTTCATCAAGCCACTTTTATGTTTTGCTGGCCTCTTTATCTTGTGTCAACTAAAAATTCATAATACTGGTTTTGACTGAAGGCTGGCTTTAATTACAATTTCTTTTACAGGTCTCAACAGCTTTTTGTATCATGGGAAATGAGAGCAATTCTTTCTATTGGATTCAGAAAGAAAATGAAAAGGTTGGTAAATGTATAAGTAATTTTAACTGATTCATTGATCTGAATACTTTTAAAGTAATACAGTAAGTATTTCTGTCACACTTTGAAGTTAAGCTTGGAGCTCAGTTACATCCCTTAGGGTTACTTTATAGCCATTAAGAATGTGTACCTTTTATCTGGTGCCTTCAATTAATTGAATTTCAAAAATATTCTCAAATGTTTTTAGAAAATCATTTAGTTCCTGGAGGACATTCCTGTGTGATTTATTGTTACAGTAATTAAAAGCACTGAGTATTACACTGGTCACTGTTGGAACTCCTGTCTGCCTTTGGCTATATTTTGGTTTAAGTTAAAACATATAGAGCACTTGAGAGACTTGTGAAGCAAAGCAAAAAAAATTAATTCTTTTCAGACTGCTCCAGAATTTTGGCACACTTTTAGAAATAACCTCTTAAAGTCATCACTGTGATATATACATGATAATTATATGCAAGCACAATTAAACTTTCATACTAAACAATTAAATACAGAATTTTCTGTTATGGTAAATTATTCTTGCCTTCCCACATTCTTTTTCTGTAGTTATAATCAGTGCCATAAAATAATTTTGAGTTTTACACATTCTATCTCTGAAGCAATGATTAAGAGCTTTCAAGAAGAGTTAAAATAGCTAATGAGAATAATTAGCAAAAAAGACTGTTCATCCTGTATTGAAAGCTACTGCTAACTGAAAAAATATGAATGTTGCTTTAATTGCGTTACTCTTTTACAAGGCAGTTGATTTTCCGCAGGACTACTTTGTAAGAAAAGTGTTTGCTTGCGTGAGTAGTCTCATATGGGCGAACTCACACATGGAAGGATTTGCAAGATAGGACCCCTTCTCCCCTTTTGCTGTCACTGGTTAACAAGTCCTCATGAACAAGAAGAACCTACTCCTGCAGTCCTTAGGAATCCACTTTAGTTACCTACTCACATAAGATGTGTAGAAGCCAGCTATCTCTCCTTACTGAGACCAAACTCCCACTACCATCAAAAAGAGCCTGGATTGTGGGGGGTTCGAAGCAGCTTCAGTGCAATTCTAAGCATTCTCAGTGCCGGTGACTTCAGCGGGGATGGAGATGACTCGACTCAGCTTTTACACAGTTAGAGCGATGTTGTTTTCCTGCTTAAAAATAATTCTCTCCACCCACTCATACATCAAATGCTGTGAGAAAGCCTTTAACTAACCATCTGATTCCAATAAATATTCTCTTTACTGAGGTATAAAGAGCTTTTAAAAACTATGGATCCACAACATTAATTTTATAAAAGCACTCTCTCTTCATGAAACAATTTTTAAACCTATGTCCTTGTGAAACATAGAAGATTATAAATTATCAGGCAGGAATTGAAAACCCCATTTTACCATTGTAGCTATATGTACAGTTTTATAGATTTGGGAAGAAGCAGGCCAGTGCTAGATAAACATTTCATATTTAAATATGTACATTAAAGCTGTTGTTTAAATTAATAACCTTTCCTTTTACATTGAATCCCCTAAAGGTTTTCCTAATGTATTTCAGTCTTTTGAATATCACATCGTGAGCCTAGTGTGAGGCAAGGAAAAGAAACATCCCCTTTTGCAGATCTCTGCACATTAAGATCAACATTGCAATATTGAAGTGAGTATGGAACTGTGTACCAAAACCCCATGGGAACTAAAATAGAGTAAAAATCGGATTGTTTATTTCTCCATCTTAATATATCCTGGGTGATTTAGGGCTTTGCTGTACAATTATCCCTAATCATTTAAACAATGACATTGATTTTCTGGTTAGAAAAATGTAAAACTTTGTGTTTCTGGGGCCTTGGTAATGCAGATGAATTTGGAGAGAGGTGTATGTGTTAAGCCCTTGTCTGTATGTGATCCAATATAATGAATAGTAGACTCAAGGCAGGAAAATGAAAGAGCAATTGTCTTATCAGATCTTTCCAGGAGTAGATCTACAGGGAACATTGTGGTGCTGCAGGAACTGGCCCAAGCACTTCAGAGACTGTCCCTCATTTTAGGTCTGGTATAGAGACAAATGATGCAGCTGTAAGTCCTGTTTAATGATATAGAAACTAAGGTTTGAGGCATTTTTCATTCAGCAGCCATTCACAAGAAAAGGAATTCTGGTGTAGCTACACCAGTGGAAAAACACGCCACAGCAGACATGGCCTGAGGCTAACATTTCTCCTCTTGAATTGCAGGGTCTGTTTTTGCTGCATTCTGGGTGTTTCCCAAAGGTCTTTTCCCTGGGTTGCAGCTATGTTGGTACCTACATGGGTGCTTCACAGTTCCCATTTAGAGAAATCCTCACTATTGTCAAACCCCAAATCAGGCTGTCTTACATCAATCCCCACTGGAGTTTCAAATCAGTTCAATTTTGCTTTCCCTCTTGTCCTGATTTGTGACATAGTGCTGTTATGCACCATTAAAAAGCTGCCATAGCTACTATAGAGATGTTTCAATCCTGTGTGAATATGAGAAAATATTACCAGCCCTTGTACAAAATCTACTTCTACCCTCACAGAGATAGTGGAAAAAGCAAATATTCTGATCTCACTGTACTAAATGTGCTGTAAGAATGTAAGGTGTTTTAAAAATTGTTTTTATTTTTTTTTTAATGAACCCACTCTGAAATTCATCATTGCTGGAAAAGGGAGTTCAAGCAGCAGCAACCAAATCCTAGGGGAACTGAAGGATTCTGTCAGTTCTACTCCAGGTACCTCTACCAGCACCAAAACAAATGTGGATCTGGTAAAATATGCTAGGCTAGTAAATATACTAGGAAACAAGTGCCAACCAATGGAGGCAATACATCTCCTTCTCTAATGGACCCTGATACGTACAGCCCTTGTAAGCATGTGGTGAACTCTCAAGGACCCAGTCCTGCAAAACTCCAATGAAAGCCAAAGTACCATGAGCTTGAAGAGAGGGCTGGAGGATCCAGCATCAAATCAAAATGTCACTTGGGTTTGGGAAGAAATATTCAGCTAGGTCATCGTGGTGATAGTCTTAGTGGGGTTTTACACTCCCTTCAAAGCACTGAGCAGGGATCATTCTTTATGATCAGATGGGAGAGTGTCCCTACAAAATCATCCAGGGATTGTTCCTGGAGGCAGATGGCACTTGGTCTTTCCCTTGGCTTTTTGTGCTCCTGAATCAAGACAATGACTATGAAGTCTACCCCAGGCTGCAGGCATTAGGGTAGGGAAGGCAGGGAGCAGGAGTGCCTTATGACTTTAAAGCTGGTCTTCTCACTTCAGGGTTACCAAAAAGCCTGCTTAAAACAGTGAAATTAAATTGCTCTTCTTTGAGAGCCACTTGAAAAGTGGCAAGGGAAAAGCAGATGAGGGGAAAGGGAGTGCATGGAAGGAAACAAGGAGGCTCCTGGTGACAGGTTTAGTCTTCAGGCCCTGGCTGGACCTTGGAGAATAAAACTGTGGCTTATTCCTTTGACACTCCTCAGCCTTTTCTCCTCTGATTGTATTCACACTCCCTGCCTGCTGGTCTTCCTAGTGCTAGTAGCCACATAGCCCTAACTAGAGGGTAAAGGAATAATGCCTGGGATAATCCAATTCGGACCAAAGTTGTACATATGTCCAGAGCCAGGCTTCCCCTCCCCGTGCCTGTTTCCTGCCCCTTTTTTGATTAAAATGAGCCCCCTCCTTCCCATTGTAGGAGGGAGGGAAGGGTGATTTGTGAAACCTAAGCAGAGCCCAAAACAACACCTGAAACCCCAAGAAGGCGTCGCTCACACCCATGCCTCCCACCTGGGTTGGGTGGGCAATGGCCTGAAGCACACAGATCTGGCTGGGGCCGTGCTGAGAACCTTCTTAATCCCCTGACCCAACCTCAGGGTGTACTGGATCCTGTCTGTCCATCCCACTTACACCACAGGGACAACCAGGAAGTGAAGCTGCTGGGAGCTGGGGACTTGTCTTCTGTTGCAAAAGAACACTACACAATCCTCTGGGCAAAATGTCTGTGATGTGTGGATTGGGGGGGGGGGGGTGCTCCCCAAACCCCTGGGCAAAAAGTTTTTGGTTTGTGGGGTGGGGGGGGGGGGGGTCTCTCCCTTTGCTTTCTCACAAATTAGAGAAAGAAAGGAACAAGCCTGCCCATTTGAACTCTCATCAGACTGAAAGTGCCTTCCACATCTGCATAGCTGCCTTGGGCATTGTGAGTGTGCCCGTAATGCTGCCACGGAATAGGGCAGGCCATAGGTGTTCACATGCTGATGCAACCTCCTACCACTGCTGCAGGTCTCAGGTTAAGAGTTGGCATCTCCGTGTGTCCCCCACTCCCACCACACCCAGCCTCTGGCAGTTTGCTAGCCCTGCACCCTGGCCACCCCTGGACACTCAGGTCTGAGTGGGCTTTCCCTGGTCTTGGGTCCTTTCTTCTTTCCCTGGTCTTGGGTCCTATTGAGACATCTGCTGTAGTTTCTGTCCTTAGCCCCCACACAGGGATTGATCCCTCCTTCCTTCTTTGTAAATCTGGATTATTTCCCTTATTGCTGAACAAACAATTAAGGCAGGAAAGGACAGAGCTACCCTTTGGGCTGGGATGGAGGTGGGGAGGAGGGTATCCAGTTGCCATAGGCTGCAGTGGAAAGGCTGGGGGGTTGAGACATCTGCTGTAGTTTCTGTCCTTAGCCCCCACACAGGGATTGATCCCTCCTTCCTTCTTTGTAAATCTGGATTATTTCCCTTATTGCTGAACAAACAATTAAGGCAGGAAAGGACAGAGCTACCCTTTGGGCTGGGATGGAGGTGGGGAGGAGGGTATCCAGTTGCCATAGGCTGCAGTGGAAAGGCTGGGGGGCTGGGATGGCAGTGAGAGGGGTGTCCAGTTGTCATAGGCTGCAGTGGAGGTGCTGGGTTGGGGGTTGGGATGGAGGCATGGGGGTGTCCAGCTGCCATAGGCTGCAGTGGAGGTGTTGCTGAGGGCAACTCAGCCTTGAGCTGCCCTGGGCAGGTCCCCCCAGCTGTGGGGAAAGGCAGGGCCCAGGCACTCTCCTTGCCCTGGGAGGGGGGCGGGAATAAATAGGGCACCCCCGGGCAAGCAGGGTAGGCTCCTACCCCCAAGCAATGGAAGAGGGCCGGAAGGCTGGCACCCGGCAGGGCAGGAGCTGGCAGTGGGCTCCGCGGGAGGGCAGGGGCAGGGGCAGGGGCGGCGCAGCGCCAGCGGCTGGGAAGGGGCGAGGGG